CCCCAAAACCCCAAAACCCCAAAACCCCAAAACCCCAAAACCCCGAGGAGGGGAGGTAGGGTTGAGATAGTAATGATAAAATTATTAAAAGATGGTAGAAGTTGTTTAATTTAAGGAAAATTAGGTTTTAGGTAGGGGGTTTCGTCAGAACTTCATCTGAAGCAGTTTTGATTCTAGGTTTTTAGAATTAAGAGTACTCAGATCAGCTCACCCTTAACTTTGGATATTCCTTTGATACAACTCATCTCAAGCATCTTAATACTTTATTGATCCTCTTCACTGTCGTACTCCTGGCTATCAGAGTCAATTACTGGTAGTTCTTTATTTGGAGACATGATATTACCATCTGTCATCTGAATTAATGATTAGATTTAAACTCAAGTGTCATAAATAAGGCAAAATTTTAATAAAATCAAAAAGTGCTAGAAATAAAATTATTTCTATATTTATGGAAGGTATCTACACTAAAATATCTAAAATTTTCAAACTCAAAGGTGGTCGAAGGAATAAATTTTGTCTACATAATGATTTTAGTAAATTTTTATTTTGGATCCCTTATAGTATCTTTTCAGAATTCGTTTGCACGTATTTTTCAATAATAATATTAATATCTAATTTAGCTATTTTAGAAAATTTATCAACAATTTCCACAAAGGAAATTCATAAAGCCAGACTCTAATCTTACATTTAAACCATTGTTGATTCTACCAATTGGGGGCAAACTTGTTTGCCCCCTCTTTGGCATTGCCTTAGTAAAACTGAGACTTTCAAATCTTATACTATTTTGCTTTGATTGCTCCTTTTCATCTTCTATCTCTTTTTGTTTTCTCACCATCCCTGAGAAAGTAATTGAATTCTGAGTATTACTTCTCACCAGCTTTGGCTTTCTGAATGATCCAAGAATATTCATTTCTATTGGCTTATACTGCTTAAAGACCTTGCCTTCAAGAGTAGTGGCCTGTCTTCCATACGTAATGACTCCTTCAATACTGTTCTCACTCTCTTCAGATTCTTTCTTCTTGCTATCATCCTCGAATAAATCATAATTGTCAAATTCGACTCTTTTTTGATGCTTTTTCTGTGCTGTTGTAGCTGAGATAGGATTGGCTCTATCATAGTCAGTATGAAATGCTAGTCATTCCTCTTTGTAGTTTGGATTATCGTTACGTTCAACATCTCTCTTCAGATAATCAAGTAACTGTCTGAATGGGAGGATGATGTTAAGAAGAGTTATAGTGAAAGCAGCCATTCCTACCCATCCCTTTCCTCCAGATAGAGCATTACTAAATCAGAAAAGAGAGATTCCATAGAGAAGACAGAAAAATGGAATCATGTTGCTGAAGATTTGAGCCATGGTCTCACCAATTTGTTCAGGGATTTTGTGTCTTTTCAGAAGCAAGTACTTCTCAAGCCAATATTGGAATATTGCTCCAAATAGGCAGATGAATGAAATGATTGGGAGTGGAAACACATAGAAAACAGCCATGCAGAATAATAGCATAGTGTTTGAGTATCTCTGAGCCATATCCAATGGTGGGCCTTCAAATAGAATGTTTGCTTGTCTTTGAGTCAACTTTGACTTATCTCCTTTCTTAAGCTCTCTCCATCTTTTTCATAATCTGATTAGATACGAAGGGTCAAGTAAATATGTGAATGGTCCGACAAAACTGATAGTTAGAGCGATATAAAAGATATCAACCATGAGACCGGTTGAATCAAACCAATTATCTGTCCCATAATTAACAAGCAACGGGTTGATGCCTGTATTAATAAACATTGCTATTGTTAGCTTAAAAGCAACTGAAAGATGATACTTTGTATAAGTTTCATGCTTCTCATAGGATGTAAGAATCCTTACTATTCTTCCCAAGATCGTATTTATAATTGCAACAAGAAATGATACAAAAATTGAAAGACTTCTTATCAAATATTGCTCCAGAATTGTTTCTCTGTCTTGGTTTTCAATTTTCTTTTTAATTTGTCTGATCCCAAAGTTAATTCCAAAGGCTATCCCTAAGCATATAATAGCAATCAAAAATGTCCAGAGTACCCTTTTCAGTCTGTTTCTTATTGTCACTCCAAGGTTATCCCAAAATATATCGCCAGGTTCAGATGCTCTTTCAGCATAAATTAGCTTTCCTTCCCAATAACGTTTAGATATTTGAGAATTTTGCCTCTTAAATATTTTGTAAATGATGAATGAAAAGATTCTGCTTATAAGAGAGGTTTCAAAGTGATTTATAATAGCCTCAGCATGGCTCTGCTTGCTAAACACAACGAATGCCTTGCTGCAGAAGTATTCAGACTTGTTCATCTTTTTCATGGACTCCTGAACCTTGTTTTGCTTTTCAACCTGCACTTTAATTTGTTCATCAATCTTCTCAATAGCAGGGTAGGACTTTCTGATACAACATAGAATCTTCAAAGTCGGTTTAGAAAGCTTCTCTCTTTGATGGAAAGAGTTATTCTTCTTCATTCTGTTCTCCTTGAGTACCATATCCCTGTAAGAAGACACATAAGCTTTTGCTTGCTGGAGCTTTGTAATTTTTCTTGTTATTTTAACTAGTTGGGTAATGTCATAACAGTAGCTGACATAAACAATCTCAACTTGCTTGTCAAGCTGAAGTTGAATCCAGTCTTTTAAATCTTCTTCCTTCTTATCTTTAGGGATATTGCTGATCATGACTCCAAAATCTGCAGGGGTGATGTTCATTTCATCGATCTCATTGATAATTTGGTTTTGAGAAGACCTTAAGAAAATACTTCCAAAAATGATAACAAAGATGAAAGCTAGGTTTTGTACAAGTTGGATTTGGACTTCAAAACTAGTGTATTCATCAGGGTCATTACCATGATTACCGATACTAGTAGAGATTATATAAGACGAACTATCAGACCATTCATCTCTTCTCTTCTGTCTAAGGTTTATCCAAAGACTTGGAAGACCCACTACGACAACCATGAGAAAGTACATGATAATACTGAAGGTCTTGAAATGATAATACAATGGAAACCCACTTCCGAGAATTGCTAGTTGCTTCATATCACAGCATAACGATAGTTCTTTTGGTACAGACACTATGCAGGAAGGTTAAAATTATACTTAGAGAAAGCCAAGTCTTTAGAATTTTAATGCTTTTGCTAGAATAATTCGCTCCAGAGAGTATTAATGGATCTCAAAACTTTGTTGGTGATATTAGAAACATTAGCAATGGTTGTTTAACTCTATGACTATACATTTAATGGATTATTTGCAAAAGATAAGCTCAAACTAAATTCAAATTTCACATATTGATGAAACTTCTCAAAAAGCTGTACTTACTTTGTTGTCCTAGAGTAACAGATCTCCTGAAATTGGGAGGACACCTGTCAAGATTTTTCTCGTCCTCATCTTCATAGAAAGCAAACTGTGTATTTAGATGTCCTGTTGAAGTGTCATTCCTATTATAAATACCATCTTCCTCTGTTTCTTCATGAGGTGTTGTTGGAAGGGTTTCTTTCTTTTGGATGTCTGCTTTTTGGTATCCAGTAAATTGATTTTTAGGTGGAGCAAGCAAGTTTCGATTTGAAGTCTCTGAATCATAGGCTTTCTGTTGTTGGTGTTTGTTCAAGGGAATATTCACTTGCTTTCTTTTTGAACTAATTGACTCTTCAGATGGAGCATTAGAGATAGTTATTTTATGTTCACCATGCTCAGGTTCATTATTATCTTCTCTGAGTGTAGGCACTTGTAAAGAAAATCTCCTATCATTTGTTGACATCCTAGAATCCTTGAACTCTTTTCTGTCATTCCCTTTTGCTTTTGGCACATCGATTCTATCAAACTCCACCCCAGAATTCTCGCCATTCTTAATTTTCTTTGGAGGAATTAGATAATCCATATTTATATTTTAAATGAATAATAACAATTGAGAACTCAAGGTTATATCTTATTCACGGGGTTTTGGGGTTTTGGGGTTTTGGGG